GTGTACGATGATGGAGAGATAATCTTATCTGCAGAATCTTTTTTCTTCCCCCCTAATGCTCGAGTGTAATTTGTTCGTCAATCAACCAGCGTGTATGACTAATCGCCTTTTCGAACTTGTTTATTGTACTCGACAAGACATAGATCATAAGTTTCTACCATCCACTTAGACTGGATTCCTCATCATAGTCAGTCTAGTGTATATCCAGATCTATTATTGTCTATCGTATTATTGTCATTGTGGCCTATTTTTATGCTAAATACCCCATCTAGACCGTTACCATCATCATTCAACTCGATATCTGTATATGACAATTGCTAACGGTAGCCACACGCCAATCACAATCATCACGTGCCTTGGAAAACAAATAAAACGGCGACATTATTTGGCGACATCAAAGACAATAATATTGTTTAAGTTAACGACTGGCTGGAACTAATAGTATTATTACAGTAATATGGGGTAGTGGGTGAGACAATAATAAGAATACAATCACTTGGATTTTAAAGATGATGATGTATTTGTCCTGATGAGTATATTTAATACTTTCCACCTTGCTATTATTCTTACTAACTGATTACCAGCCAACTACTGGGCTTATTGTTCATCACATTAATCAAATCAAATTCATATTTGACTGATTATAGTAAGCGATCATTTAACTCGTCGCCTTTTTCGAACTATTCCATAAATCAAAATGAATTCGTAATTAGTTGGAAAATATGGTAGAAACAGTGAGGTGCATTGTTGGAGGACTGTACGTAGTTTATTCTTTCTTGATTCTCTCTTACTTGTATAGAGACTGTAGAATATTTACTTAGGTCGATGGATGAGTGTGTGTAAGAGAGAGAGAGAGATCATGATGATATATTGACGTGATACACTGTTATGAAGATCGATTATACCAGCATTCGCTACAGTTGGCGATCATCCAGTCAACAAATAGAAAACTACATATTTCAATCGCTACTCCTCGACCATCATTATTATTATCATTTATAATCATGTAGTACTTTACTGTTGCAGTCATCTTCGGCAACCATTGCATAACATGATTTGAATTTGGAAGTTTTAGCATAATACAGCGAATCAAAAGAAGGTTATCCATTATAAAGATTATTTCAGATCATTCGCTGTTGTACCATGATTTTGCATCTCGGTGCTAATATTGCGATAATCAGTTCCAATCATTTTGGCCGTGTAGATAAGACACTAAAGACAATATCACTATATACTATCTATTCTCTTGCGCTAAACAGTATATTAAATACATTACTCGTTTTTCTATCAATCATTTCCATTAAGTAAGTAAACATAATCACTAGATGTTCAAGTTAGTGTCACGTCCAATAAAAGTAAAGGATTCCTTTTTTTTTGATTCAACTCCATCAAGTTACTGTACAGTATGTTTTAAATTACATGATGAAAGATCAACCTGACTCATTGAGATGTAACTAATAAGTTCAATGACAAAAGACAATCCATTCGCTAAACATTTTACTATATATATAGCGATATCGTCAATCAATATATTCATAGAATTAGCAAAATCTTCATCAATTGACAACTGTTTTTTTATTATCTTCCTTTACTTTTGAAATCTCCTAGACTTATACAGCAAATCATTATCAATAGAACAGACATCATGGATGTATTGTCTGTCATATTCTAAGCTATAATAACGATTGTATTTTTAACGATAATATGAAGTGACAATAAAGGCTGCTAGTGTATACAGAAGCCGGTCCATTAATTCCGACGATAAAGAATGCAGGAAGTACAGCCATTAATTCCCCATACGGTATATGATTACCTCTACCATCATTTAAAATTGTATTGACCCTCAATCAATGAAGTCAACTCTCACCCGTAACAAATATTTCGAAAATGCTACCGTAATTGAAAGTATTCAAAGCAACATAAACATGTACAGTATGCTAACGTATTGCAAATAACCTACATTAGTACATAATCAATCATTTTTCTACATCAAGTCAAAACTATATCCCAATTCAATATTTTAATGTATTTCAAATAGTTCATAAAGGAGTTAAAGTTGATGAAAGGCGTGGTGTAGCCAAAGGTGTGGCAGAATCACGATCGTTAGTTAGACTAGAGAATAATGCTAGACTAAACATTATTAATAAAGAGGTATTGTTGTTTGTCTTGCAATAGTAAAATGACATAATTTTAATCGATAACTGTAGGATTAAATTAAACTTATTCACCCTGTCTAGGCTAAATCACGGGTTGACCAATTGATTATTGGCATCCTCCTAATCATTAATTTAGTAGTCACCATTTGATAAAACGTGCGAAAACAAGCTATCTAATACTTGCATGTGCGATAAATTAGAGCTAGATATGATTACACATTTAACTATCGCTACCTATCGGAAAGTGTAAACACCGACAACAAAGGAACAATAAGATAGACGGATGCTAAAGACGTAGCATGATATTATAGCCAGTTATTAACGTTTGAATTCTATTTTCAACTCTATAGTATCCATGATTATCAAGAATAAAATCAATCTTGTTGAATCCATGATATCCTTTTTTACTTGAATAAAATTGCAACATTTTGACATACGCGTAGATTAAAATAAATCTTGGTAAAATTGACATCAATATCCCGGATTATAATTCAACAAATCTATCAACAACAAGACAATCAACTCAATAAATCAACGATGGTGAAGGGAAAACTTTTCCTTATTAATTATTGAATTCGTTAAAGATAATGTTCACTTCGTAACCTACTAATAGACTTATAATAAAGAATAACCTACTAAATCGTATTTTCACATTGATAAGGTTTAGGAAATTGTTGTCAGGCGTCTGAACGAATAATCTCATTTTGTAACCTTTCTCTCTTTCTCTCTTTCTCTCTTTATTACAAAAACGAACAACTATTAGCAATTTATTTTAATCTTTAAAGAAAGAAAGTCCCTTTTATATCATTATAAAGAAAGAAATGATGAACTGTAGTTGCTGACTTGAGAGTTAACATTTAAGGATATCACCATTATTTATGCTCTGTATTTCGTATGCAGAATAGAGATGTTACAATAGTGGTTTTATTGTGGAGTAACTTTCCGATATAGCTATACCTTTAAATCTTAGCATGACATAATATTTTAAGGAAATATGTTTATGATACCAGTGAGTCAAACCGGATGATGACAATCAATGAATCTAATTAAAGATTTATGGAATATTGGCAAGTCATTAGTTATAGCCAAATCAGCCACCGGGATATTTACATTTAATTTAACTTATTGTGATGAATTTTTTACTGCTACACTTGTCACTTGATCATGAAAATATCAATTCATCTCTACAATCAATATGATGCAAAATGATTAAATTTCCTTTTGTTACAGCTTGGTAGTTATTTATACAATCATGAATGATGCTTCGCTTGTGGCAAGGGCTATTAAAACTAATAATACTCAACCATATGACCTTAACGAAATGTAGTTGTCCTTTCCAACTTTCAAGTGCTCGAACATAACCAGGGCAGCATCTGTTACATTAGCCATGCTACTGCGATCCATTATTGTTATGCGGTATGATGATTTATCACCTTATTCAATTTACAATTAAAACTAACAGCATAGTACTGAAAATTACAGTATTCATGTACCTCGGTAGAGCCAAATCCTACTTTTACTCTGGATGAAAGGTTATAAACTAAATCTTTTATAAAATATCAATAAAATAAATACAACTCCCTATGACACGACAGTTAATAATTATGCTCTACGATATCAATTAAAGCGAATGATGTAACTCTTAACCAACCCAAACATTGCATGTTATGTTTTATTCTGGTTATTCCAATTAAAATAAGCAATATCATGCCGCCTCCTTCGCAAACATGAATACGAAATAATTGCCCATTAACTGGTATTGAATTGTAATTTTCCAGTTTTTATTTCACGCATGGATTAATTGCAGATCAATGTAAATCCAGGATAATCATTTCACACCCATCCATCAATAGAAAATAATACTGGTAGACAGTATCAATAAACGATGACTCATACTGTTCTATCATGGCGCGATTGTCTAAATTATCTCTTTAGACTCTTTATAACTACAATTTTTCTTTACAATATAAACGTGAGATATAGAAAACTAAATTCACTTTATTTTTGTTACGCTTACTATTTGACAAATTACGAATTATACAAATGGTTCATTATCGTAGGTATGTACGTACATACTAAAATACTGTACTTTGCTATATAATTAATCAATAACAAAGAAGTGACGTGTGTAACAAATTTATATCTTATATCTATTTGCAATATCAGATAAGAACATCAAAAAAGATGATATACTTAATTAATAGCGATTTTTTATCAATTCGGTAAATTCTTAAGAACACATTTTGTCGCACAAAAATGAATTTAAATCTAACAAGAAATCTTAACGTAACGGGAAGCGTATCCTAACGAGTTTAAAAATGACTCTGACGATAAGTTTTAGCGTGCGATACGCTACTAAATATTTTCGTTAAAGTCTACACTTTCTTTTCTAGACATGATACAACAGACGATTGTAGAATAATAATACTGTACATCTACAGCATTAAATCGGGTATGTCAGTACCTGTAAAATCTTACATAATTGCGCATGTTTGATTTTAATGCAGCTTTGATCAGAAAAAATTATAATGTTAATCTTAATAGACTTCAATGATGCTTTTACGGACTATTCCATAAGTATACACATGTTTTTTACACGCTATTTTCTTACAAAAAAATACATTATTAGCACGAAATTTAAACATCACGTTGTTTCAATTAGCATTGTACAGAAGATAGTTTCCAGAATTCAAATTTAGTAACCTACTATAACATATGAAGCCTTATGCTTTGCCAATTGATTAAAACTTACTGATGTATTAGCATGCAAACTAGATACGAAATAATATGCAAGTTTCAATTCTTGGATGATAATCAATCATGTTGTTATGGCTCCGTTCGTATTTAAGAATTAATTAATCGAGTACGTTCATCTGCAACGGATTCATAATCAGGTGGTGACAGTAACTTTTCAGTATCTCTTAGGGGTGTGGCTTCTGGAAGATCAAAAATTCTCAAAAGCAGTCCCCTCTTTCTGAAGAATGGCCCAACCAGCAAATCATTATATACACATGTTCCGATAATCAGCATTACAAAACCGATTATCTGCAAGTACTGAAACTTCTCCCACATTGCAATCAATCCTACAGCCCAAATGATCATTGTTCGTAGACTATCTAGTACCATACGCGTTGTTGCATTCATTTCCTTGGTAACACTAATACCAGAGAAATTAAAGAAAGCAATACTGATAATGTTGCCAATCATTGCGATTACAATGATTTTAGAATTGCCCATTTGGCAGAAAGCATCGAGTGCATCTTCCAAACGAAATTGGGGAGAATGACTAAACATTTCGTTAGCGTGAATGAAATAGAATGGAATTAATAAGATGCCTAAAATAAAAAATCCAAAAAATCCTTCCCATCCAACAGCTTGCAAAGGCGGAACATTATAACGCAATACAAATCGTTCTTCGTAGCACATTTGAATGGCAACAATAATTTGGGCCATAATGATGATCATATCACCTAATAGATAAAATATTCGAATATTAATTATTATAGGGACCGTTACATAATAGATATCATCCCTGCAGGTTCTCAACTACTAAAATTCATTTCAAAAATTTCACATTTTGTAACCGAAGTCAAAGATTATTAGAAAAGGAACTTTTTCTAGCAGTCTTTGCTTAAACGAATACTAGCACATTCAATTAGATAATTTAAGTGCTCGTAAATAAAGCACACAAATAGTAAAAATATCATCAAAAACAAATAATAATTAGCACATTATTACATACAATACACATATTTGCTGTATTACAGTCGACTTATTTTGATTCAATACCTGACTTTCAAACGATTAGCACTTTGAAAGGTTTACACAATAATTATTTTCTCTAATTCCATCAAACTAGTTGTATTGATATACTGAATCTATTCGTGATCTCATCCAAATATGCTACTATTTTTCAACTGCTCGACGGTTTTTACATACCATTCTAGTGTTAATAAATACCTTATTAAATATCATAAGTTATAAGATCATTTACAAACAAATGCTATCAAACTAGACATAATACATACCGGAAAGTGGATAAGGCGCACTATGTTTAGTAGTGTCTTTATTGAATAAAATATCTGATAGACCAACAACTGCTAAGCCAATGATAATAGTAAACATTCCCAACCACTGGAATGGGCGAAGAACACGGTGCAAGAAACCAACCGATAATAATCCAGTAAATATAATAACACTACCACGTAGCATCTAAAGTACGAGAAAAAATATTTACTATGTAAGTATATCATGCAACGTTGCGAGTATACAAATCGAATATTGGTATACTTATATTTCACGGGCACATTAAAAGCCAGATAATTATAATATATTCTGTAAAACGTGTGCAGACAACACATGCATTCGAATAGTGAAAAGTGTTTATCAACCAGCTTGTCCAATTTACATATGAATAACTTGTTCATTTATAAACAATTTGTGTCATAAAAATATATTATAAATTTTCATTTTTAATTTATACACGATTAAACGATGATGAAGAAAGCTAGTCACAATCATTAGCGGCCGATATATCGATTCTATAGCTGATTAAAAACTTGATATCTAAGAATTAAATACAAGGTACGTGCATTCTTACAATTAGTATTTATAAATTGTTTAAATATATAATTATATTAGCGATACGCCTGTACAAATTGTACGTAGCAATGAACAATTCCTTAAGATATAACCGATTTATAGCGATCAATTATATTTAACACTATGCATGCTAATACTGTGACTGAAGACTAATATAGGCGTACAGTATTTTAGGATCTAATGTAATTTAGGATATTCAACAAACATGTATTAAGTATTAAGCTACTAAACTGATCTTATAGTATATCAAACTAGTCGATAATAGTATCGTAAGATACGATGATTAACCTGGTTATTAATTCACGAAATTCAGTTCATATATTCCAACTAATCGTCACAATTAAAACAAGTGGTTACATCTCTTAAGTTATAGCGAATTTTCATGATAAAATTTGTACCTACTTAATATTTATTAAATAACTCCAAACAGTTTATTAAGAGTATTTAAAATCCTTGCTTGTCACCATAACTATGCGCAAAAACGCGTAAAAATGTCTGCTGCACTAGACGTACACATACTCGTTTTATACTGTGTGTAATTATTATTACTATTCGTTCTACTCAAGTAGCTAAAACCAATTTATAGAATTTCGACAAAAGCAGTTTTAACTTTTTAAAATCATAGCCATAAGCATAACTTAGGGCTGTTACGTTCCATATCGTATGTATGAATTCGTGTTTGCAACAAAACTTTAACTAATTTCTTTAGTACAGTGATATCGACTCAATTCGTTTACTGTGATATGAAGTATTCATACAATGTAGTAAATATACTAACAAGTATTAAATTATACATCCAAATCGGAACACATAAATTATAGGATAAAAGTTAGCTAGCTCTAGTTCTATAAAGCGTTATTAGTTACCGAACATTACCTGAAAGCTCGATGCATATGTCATATTCAACCCGATGTACATCAATGATGTTGCGGTCATATCGCAACAAGCAGCAGGCAAGAAAACAATTGGATTGAATGTTTGGCTTCCGATATCAATAGCTTTATTGCGACGCTTGGCGACAAATACTGTCAATTTAAAAACCAACAGGCAAGAAAGTTCTCCAATAAACATACAACAAGCCTATGAAATTACCAATTGCTTACATAAGAATTTTAATTTAATAAAATTTTAAAATAGTCTGTAGTCATTTTATTTTGGTAATCACAGATAGAACAAAATGTTGCTTCAACGCTATATTTGCACAGTTAATACTGAGTTCTTTTCAAGGCAATTGCAGAACAAGCCAACTTCTGCAAGGATAACCGGAATAAGTAGAGTCTGATTATATTAGCCATCAATGCATTAAAAGTGCATCTGTGAAATGCAGACATTATAAAAATTTGCATTTGTCAACGTTGCACAATTGCAACATGATATCAACGAAGTAAATACGCGTATCTATCCGAGTACAACATATTGCAAGTGAAAATATCAGTAAAAACCATTAAAATCAGTTATTTAATATTATCGAGATAAACTAATGATACATACTTGAGATTCTACTGAGCAATACGTATAGCCGCCATTGACTGTATGTAGCATGCACTCGTACACTCAGGCGTACAGTATAGATTTCTTACGAGTCCAGTTCAATATACAGTACAGTAAAAAAATTGGGGAATATCAGTTGCAAACCAGGGTGCGACTGTATTGCTATAACTAGCTGCATGTCCAGGCAGGCAGGAGGCAACTGCATTTTACGATATCTACCTTACGGATTCATACTGTACAATCTCGTACTACTTGTTCGCACAGATAGTATTCAATATGCCGATGTATTAATTAATATTGCAGTAGTTCGTACATACTGTATTATGTGAAATTAATATATCGATACGTACTTTGGATAAACCATATGCTCATATATTATAATCAGTCGCTACAGACAGTTACTTTTATTATTATTATTATCATTTCTATATCGTAGAAAATGGTTTTGGAGAAAGTTAGTGATGTACGTATACTAGATTTCATATAAAAGGTACTACCTCAAAATCTTTCAAGTACAACTCTACCATAGGTTAGCATACATCTACGCTAAACAAATTCGTGCTAATTTTAGCCTTTCAATTTGTAATGATCCACAGTGACAGTATCGTATCAGTAATGTACTCATCTACGCGTATAAATAAGGCCACAAAGTTGTTCTATCTCAATACTGTCCATCGATTTACAGCATTACTGTACTGCACTATAGAGTCTGTATGCACATATGATGTCTATTATAACGGTAAGGCTAAATTATTCGTATTTGATGGAATTATTGATCAAATGGGATAAGAATAATTAATACATCGATAATTAAGATAAGCATTAATACACCATTCTAGTTCAAATTAAACACTTTTCATTTATGACCACTATACCTGAAAAAAGGGATGATCAAATGGATGAGATGGGTAATTATTACATCCCTTTGCACTTTGCCGATCAGCCCATCTAGTCATTTAAGCAGACAAATTGAGTTTCTGGTCAGATTACTTGGTTAAGATGAACAAATAAATACTGCGGTCATAACATAAGATAAACATCGTTCAAAAATGTTTACGAAGGACAAAATGACTAATGCAGCATGCCCTCAGCATTTAGGATATTATTAGGTCATCTGCAAGGAACTATTTGACCGCGTTGATACACTGTACAAGTACTTTGATTAATTGTAATGGTATTCAATTCAATAATAATAATAATAATATCAATAACTAATAGCTACCGTAGACGTTGACTCTACTGTCATAACTATTATTGAAATTGACTATCAATTCACTTCCGCTAATGAATATCTTTAGCGAATAAGATCGAATAGAAGTATCTATGCACTAAACATCGCAGCACTCAATAAGCCAATAGTAACAGAAACTATCCTTCCTTTCCTTTTCATTCTCCTATTTTATGCTGCAATAGACTTAGTGGATTGACATTAATTTACTGAATGTTGCTATTCCCAAATTCCGATAACACACAGAAGCACTGGCGACATATGACTTACTTTGTTGATAAAGTGTTAATGGACCCAGTCACTAACATTAATCCAGCCAGAAACCACTGATATTTGGTAAACATATTTCTTTCCTACCACTGTTTGCTATCACTGTAATCCAATTTGGGTGTCGAGTCGACTCTTCAATGGTGGAAAGGAGGCAGAAAAATGAGTGAAATGATCAATTTATTATCCGCCTTGACGTCAGTACTGTACCGTGTACAGTCGAACGATACTACAGTAGATCTCCTTTTCGTAGTCCCTGGTAGTGCGTATGCAGAGGCCTACTACTGTACTGTACGTCCAATCGTATAGCAGTTGTGCGATAGATTGAGTCAAAAGAGTACGATGCAGTTGAGAACCGTCCACCGACCTACCTGGTTCGGAACATGCGTGCAGGTCCCGTGACTTTCATTTTTTTTACAGTACCTCGGACCACTGTCCTATCCTGTATACTGTAGCTCACCGTACTGTACAGTACTGTACTGTACTGTACAGAATGTGCATTCCCCTGTACGTACAGTACAGTACAGTACACAAGCCTTCAAGGTAAAGTACTGTACTGTACTGACACGTGTACAGTACATTAGCGAGGGTCGTAATCCATTTTTTTTCTTTTATTTACCTCTATGGTCATCAATCGTCATGTACCAGGGACTTCTGACTGGACCGTAGTTGTTATACTGTACAGTATTTCGCCTTCTCTTCGCATAACGCCTTATCTACAGGAGGATGCAGAAAATCCGAAAATTACAGCATTTCAAGGACAAGGGGACGATCATGATATACAGTACTGTAGTACAGTACTGTACAGTGTACAGTACATGTCACACTCATACTGTACAGTGTACAGTACACATCTTCTTGGTCGTTGACGCATCGTTGACTGCGTTCGTTGACCAAAGAGCAATGATTCCGTTTAGTGCACATGTGCAGTTAAAGCAACTCTACCAACAAGGGCCAGTCATCAACATGACTTGCAAAAATTTTCTACCACTCCTCATCCACAGTAGTAACGGTACTGATTTCCATCGAGATATTTTTGACAGTACAGTACTGTATACTGAAGTCAGTGTACTGTACACTGTAAAGTATACACGTATCGTACTGTACACTGAGTGTACAGTACTGTACTGTACCATCACAAACACGTGAGATGGCCAACGGTACTGTACACTGTACAGTAGTGCTGTAGACGTCGAGCGATTGGACGTCCAACTGTATGTATAGAATTTAAGGCAAATTTTGCAACTTTACTACAATTTATTTTGCCTAATAGCACTCTAAAGAGAACTGGCTCGCACCGTACAGTATAGTCTTACAGTATACCGTACTGTACAGTGTACTGTACACTGTGTACTGTACGTTGGTACTGTACAGTACGTTCAATGAACGTCCGACGTTCAAATTGGACGTTCGTACGTTCGTTCATTAAAACTGGCTAACGTCCACAGTACTACTGTACAATACCTTGAGGTCTGTACTGCTCGGAGTACTGTACTGTAAGGTTTCCGCTAAGTACTGTACTGCACAGTACAGTACTGTACTGTACACTGTAAATGAAGCGGATTAAAGAAAGAGTTTATTATACTGTACTGTACTGTAGTACAGTACTGTACAATACTTCAAGATTCTTGTTGAATATTAATTTAATTGATTCAGAAAAAGACGGAATTGAGGTTATATCCTTCGTTATATTCTCACAGGACGCTACTGCTATCGTCTCTACATTACCCGCGAATAGCTCTAGACTATTCTAGTGCCTAAATGTACTCTCTTTGACATGACCAATCTTGTAAGAACTTGTACCGCCATCTTACTTTTCATCAACGGGGGCCTTACTAACAAACTAATTTACTACATATTCTCTCAAATCAAAGTTGAAATTCTCACATCCATACATACGCGTATAGACCATTGACCACCTTAGATAAACGTGACAACTACAGTACTTTAGCCCCTGTCACGGAGTCTATATATAAGCACTATATGAAGCAGGCAACTGCAGAGAATCGACAAAAGGAACTTTACAATTACCAATGTTGAAGAAAATTACTTTGCGCGATATCGGATAAGTTAGGGTATTATCTGAGTTTAGTATGATAGGTAGGTATTACTGTATTTTGGATTGGAATTTGCACGTCGCTATAGTGAGCGCAGCAACCCAAACCGCAAGATATGATTACTGATAAATGTACAGCAGCTTACCAATTTTCAATTTGCTATTTTTCATAATATGACGCATTAATAAATAAATGATTTATTAGAACGGTGCATCCATTCCTTATTTGTATTTACGAGTATCTCAAGAGAAGTGATTCAAGTTAATTACGATTAAAATTGACTACATACTCTGTATCCTGCGGCATATCATTTTTTTACAACAGGGTATTCTATTCTCAACTCAAATGACTGACTCAGCTTCATTTATTTATATGTCCCAATTTGAACTATTATGCTTGATAATTAATTGCAACATAGCATCACAATATATGATATAAATGTGCTATACAGTACACACCGTATGCGAATATTTTATTGTTATATAACAATCTGGACAAATAGTTCAGACTGAGATACTGATTTTTAAGTTATAATACGAGAAGCGCATAACGTACTACTTTTTTAATATGGTAACCCTTCGATGAATTCTTATACAATATCATTATTTGATCTACTTTTAAAATCCGATAGTATACAATTTATAATGTGATATTTTATCATGTTAAGGTGATTGATTGATATTATATTAGTCATTGCAACTATTTCGGTATACAGTTATGTGATTGCCAATATCTTAAAAATAAATAACTAATAACTAAATGTCATTGATCAATCTCTTTTAATTTTCGATATTACTCTATAATAGAAAATATTAATTATTACAGCTACAATATTAAAGCATTTCACTACAACTAGAGCCTCTATCCTAATGAAAGATTCGCACATTATACAAATAGGATCAATTAATGACATAAGAATGATTAAATTAAACACAAATAAGTTACTGTCTCGATTATCTAAATATTCAGGATAGCACTAGGATAGGTTAACAAATGAAATATAAATGCAGTGCGATGCCCTAAAAACATTCTTCGAGATATACTACCCACGCTTTTGCCGATAAGATAGGAATAAGAAATTTCTACAACGCTAGAATCTACGGAATAATAATCACTAGCTATCTTAGTTGTAGCTAGATGTAATAAGAAATTGAATATTTAGATGATATTGATGCGGACATACTTATTACGATTGCAAAAATCTGCTATTATATAACTGAATATCTCTTGCTTACTGTTTGCATGATGTACTTTGCATGTAAATCTTACATCGATTGGATTAAATCAGCAAACAACTATAATTACAGCTGAACTGATACAATATAAAATTCATTATGCATTTCCTACTTACTCATTCCGAATAGATAATTTTATAATAATACAGTGAACAATTTAGTTTTTACAAGGGACTTATATAATCCGTTATTAGAATTAGAAACAATAAAAACACATTCTAAAATTCAGCATTGCATCAATAATATTTATACGGGAAAGTTCATTCGGAATCATAGAATGCGATATTAAATATTAATTTATACTTTTTTATACCTATGAAGTCGCCAAAAGATGTAAATATTATATTAGCACGCCGTATTGTTTGCACCAATTTAGAAATAAATACGCTGTTTTCGCTTCAAAATATCTGAACTTATTTATTATTAATACCTGTCTTGAAATAAAAATTGAGTGACTAAGACGTCATAAATAATGACTCTATGTGAATGATAGATCTACGTTAAAAGTCATCATTATCAATACTAACGCGCTATATGAAATTAACATTTTGATTAATATCCTATATATTAAATTACTTACACTTTTATTATTATTAAGAGTATTATCTGCAGTATTGTGATATATACCAATCACGAGATTCCAAATTTTAGAAAAATAAGGGCTTTATTGAATCTTATACAAAGATTAACTATACACAGCTCTACTCTAGCCGAATACTACTACTAAAGACTTCTATAACGAACTAACTGAATAATCTAAAGTTGCATGCTTTTATACTTTTCGTATTATTCGCAGCTACAATCCGCATGGCAACCTTTTACCTTATACTAGTGCAAACTCCCGTCGCTTTGCTGACGGTTTACGATAATGTGCTCATTTAACAGATAGTATTATCATTTGTCGTAGATCTGTCATAGACATTATTCACACCAGCCAAAGTACAATGAATTAACCATATCCTAATATATGATTTACAGTTCTATTTTTACCTATAGCCTTATTAGTAACTCAACACCTTACTGTATATAGTCATCTGTACTCTAGCATAGAGTCTATACAACTACAGTCTATAGTTATAGCTACCAAATATCTCTTAGGATAAATATCTACCGTACATTATACTAAACATGGCTAATAGTCTACAATCACAATACTAGTTACATTACAAGTATTAAATAAAGAAAGTTGTAATTTAGACTCTGTGTAGCTTATATAGAATTTCTCTCTACTACTATAACAAGACAGCTTCAGAAATAAACCATAAAATATTTGTATTTACTAGAAAGAGACTTTGTGAAATGATTATTAGTCACTTCCTATCTGTATTTTAGACTTTACTGTAAAGGTAGCTTTTTTCTAATCTAATATATAATTTACAAAGTAAAACATATCGAATTCGATATGATATTATCAGATACACTTTGCTCATATATTGGTATAGTATTATGCCGCCATAAACTATATTGTAAACGTCACCATTCCCCATATAACAAGCAAAAAGTGTATGAATGGATATTCACACATGATAAAAATAAATAACTTAATACCATACTTATCTAATCTAAACCCGTCATTTTTAAAAATCAAACTGTCTAGCTCTATTTCTATGCCGAACCATGGTATGCTTTTACACGTAAACACGTTAGCAAGTATAATATATCGGGCAAAGTATTTAAAAAGGGATCTGATTTTAATTTCGAAGTAAATTTGATATGCATGCCTTCAACTTAAGAGCTGTTCCATCTATCATTCAGAAGAGCACTCTAAGTTATTCTCTTCTTAGAATTAATCAAATTTCTCTCACTAATTAATATATCCTCAACATCCGATGAAACATTTCGAGCTACTAAATAATCCAAGACTGCAGAAATCAAGATGCCCATTAAAACCATTGCTATTTTTATTTTATAAGTCTATATTGCTTGTATCATGCCATTAATGTCATTAATATCTTGATTTATGAGTATCTATGGTATATTGCTAGATAATGCGAATTTCTAGATGAACCTAGTAATTTGTGACAGTTACAATTCAAATTGTTAGAAACTTATGCAATTGATTATTGATAAACATCCAACCTTGTCATTTTCTTTTTATATTCAACTTTCCATGTAGCCGTAATATTCTACTATGAAACCAAGAAATGAATGATGGCTATAGGTTATTATAAAACGATACTATAAATAAATAAATTTAGCCTAGATCACAAAAAACACAATTAATTTAAAATTATTTATAGCAGCTACAGTATATTGCTACTATTGCAATTATGAAGAGCTGCAGATAACCGGAATGATAGTTGTTGCATAATGGCAGCATCTATCAAATCATTTTAACTTAGTAGACTAGATTGTAGGGTGTACGCAATAAATTATACTGTATAATCTTACCCTCCTTGCTGTATCTACGCGTACAACATTTATTATTTAATTTTACATTACTCACAGGAAAGAAGTCATTGATTATACAAATAGCATGAACATCATTTATGTTGCCTAAGCATATGTTAAGGATACCAGTATTTCCCATAATCGCTAAATTTAATTCGTAAGCAGATCATTGAAAGAGTTATAAGCTTTAACTGCTTCATTAGATTATAATCAAAAGTCTGTTCTAGTAAGGCAATTTTCAATTCTACAAAATGTTATCAACTACTAACATAGGATAAATTTCCTTTATTCTAATGAACCATTCATGGTAAGTCCAAGTAAAATAACAATAATATGAATCAGATTAAAAATGTCATCATAGCAATATCTAGTCGCCTTATGTAATCTATCGATCTTAAATATAGATAGTGCAGTAAATTATCATAAAAGTATGATAAGGATTTCAGTTTCTCAAGCTGGTTCTTCTATCAGGATATTTGTATAATCTTAGAATTAATTATGCATGTATATATATAGTATTATTGATAATACAGTCTCTATGAAATATTTTATGAACAACAATAATTCATGCGAAACTATAATCGTTTATTAATATGAGCCTAGCTGCAGGGAAATTGTAAGACCTTCTGCCAACTAATGATACACGCATAATGTATAAATGTCTAAGGCCTTATTCTAAGATATGAAATGATAGAAGTCACATCGAGGGTAATTGTTTTTTTTGGAGTGACTCAAATAAAGCTTCTCTTTGATTTGGACGGACGGACAGTATAATGGAAAAAAATATACAAATTTTTTACCATATTTGAGAAGATAAACTGTCAGATTTGGCTGAAATTTTATGTACACTTATATAAGTTCTACCTTACAGTATACTGCAGTATCAAGGAAAATTGAGTCGGAAAGTTAGTTTTAAAAGCTTCACATAAAATAACTATCCTAGTAATATCGCATATACTGACTACCTTTTCTATGCTATAAAGACATAATCAAACCAATTAAGTTTATTACTTATCTCAAGTTGTACGAGTATACCTCAACTGCTAGCTTTTGATAATAAACACTAAACTCTGATCGATTTCAAGCACAGTAACGTATCGAGCCATGCATATACATCTCACATTACCACTGAACAGTGTGTGATCCATTAACGAGTAACAATCAATTTCGCTTAGCGATAACCTGTTCGACCAATCTAGCCCTCCTCTAATGCGTGTACAACTGGCCAATTTGTGATAGTAAGCAGAGAATTAGCATTCACTGGCTAGTGTGATTGTAGTACTAGCAGTTTAGACTTAAAAATCGAATGATCCAGGTGAGAAATGAAATTGTAAAATCTACAAGAGTACTAGCTAGGACACACTGCAAGTCTATGTTCATAAATGTTATCAAGTATAGAATATACTCGTAGTATCCTAAAAACTATTCTGAATCATTTATCAGCTAGCTTCATTGAGCTTAATCATCGATAAAATAATCAACACGGAGAAGTCAGGAGACAAAGTTGATCTTTTTACTTACACGAACTGGGACAGGCATCAACACAGATTAACTTTACAATTTAATAACTTACCACAGTTAAAACGTTAAAATCAATTATTGCAAGTCAATGATATTATAATTCGCAGCGGTCAACTAAAAAAAAATGCAGTACTGCACTTGCTATTATAGTAATACATCAGTAAAGTAGATTCAGTTAAATTTTTTGATCACAGTGATATCATAAATATACCGTATCTACAGATATAGATATAAGTACGGTATCAACATATCCTGCATATATAAATCTCATTATGTATATATAGGCGTTTCCTGGTCAATAGCCGCTCACGCTGAAGAGTTAAATTATCATCTGCGAATTGGGACAAGTGAAACATTCTAATGTGATAAAGTTATAGATTCATACTACAGAGTGACAAGCAAAGAAAGCATTAAGACACTAGAATGTGACTTAATCAATATTAACTATCAATCCTACTAAATATACGACAATAATATTAACGTGAATAGCCATTATAATTAATAATGTATTATACGTGTATTTTAACCTGGTTGTCGTTTTAACTCAATCGAAAATCAAAGTTGGAAATATCGACCGACAGAGTAGTCTCTAGATAAAAGCTTATAATATTAGGAGCAGCCAAAATCAGAGAATCAGTGTAATCGTTGTAACATCAGAAAAAGGCTGTCGGTGTAAATTACTATATAACACAATAATATCAACTTACACTGTTCCCATTATCGTTATAAGTCATATAATCGAGCTAACATAGCTAAGAGATTTCACAAACTGCATAAAAAGTAAAACACTAGATATTTCATGAGATGTTTTACACGAGTTTTCTGTATTCTGATGTGTTCTGTTACTCTACCGTTGGGTGTGAACTATCATTTTAGAGTAGTGATACATTTATTTTATTAATTTTCTTCTTTTCATGTAATAACGTTATCTAATTCCAAATCTTCAGTAAACTGTCCCAGCTGCCAGTTGCGATAGCCATGCCGTCACACGTTACCCCCAAACAACTAACACGGTTGTCATGACCAGCTAAAACACCAACACGTTCACCTTTCAAAGTATCCCAAATGTTACAGTTATAATCGTCATATCCAGCCATAAGCAATCGACCACTTTTCGAAAAGGCCACGGACGTAATTCCGCATATGATACTGTCATGTGAATAGACACATAGTTCCTACAAGATGACGAAAGCGATTAAAATATATTATCGCAATGTGTCGTGTATGTAATACGTAGTATTTCCGTTTCTGCTAGAATCACTAAGACGTACCTGATCAGCTCTTATGTCAAATAATCTACAGCAAGCATCATCTGAACCAGTTGCAAAAGCATTGCTATTTGGGAAGAACTATCACAAAATACAAGGCAAGACACTTAAGAGTTATAAGCAATTTACAAAAATGATAATCATATCCAACTTACTGCAACAGCATTAATATCAGATTCATGACCAGTAAATGTTTGCTGACATTGCCCAGTACGAATATCCCACAACTTTGCAGAAGCATCACAAGCACCAGAAACAAATACTTTGGCATTATCGGTTGATAAAGATAAACTCATTACATCGCCAGTGTGGCCAGTAAATGACGTTGTTTGATGTCCAGTTTCTATATCCCACAAACCACTAAAATAAAGGATGCAAAACGTAATAAGAAATTTTCTTACTATATTATTGCCTATCATGAAACAGATTGCTTTACCAGGTCATATCACCAGAGCTGGTAACTATATTTGTGTCATCGATAAATCTGCAGCAAGATAGGTATCCAGTATGACCAGGTAACTCTCTGCTGACGCGTACATTGCCCTCCCTGGTCTTTAAACTATATATTGAGCAGATATTATCCAAACCGCCTATACATCAAAATATCGTCAAGCAGTTAGTACCTTGCGCTATACAAGAAAAAAACTGTAACTTGAGTTTATTAGCAACGAAAATGAATATTTTCTTACCGCAAGCGACATAATTTCCCGATGGAGCATATGCACATGTCATAACCCAACTGGAACGCAGGGGAATAGCGTGTATCTGATGAAAAATGTAGATAAAATCAGATTATAGACATATAAAGTGAAGACAAACAAGAGAATCGATATAGAAGATGCTAATAATTATAGTTTCTCATGTAAAAAGAGCTAACAAACCTTATTTGTGGTGTATGAATCCCAGACTATCAGTTTACCATCTTGTGAGGCACTTACGAGATTCCTAGAAGTCAATATAGCCGTAGATACAATGAGCTATTCCAAAGTACGGACAATGAAATAGGAAAGTGTAATAAAATTGCAATATCTAAATTATGTTCAAGCTTAGGAAATGATTTGAAAGTTTACCTAGAGTCAGAAGCCCAGTGCATAGCATAAATTTTAGCTAAATGACCCCGTAAAGTACGCCTCGTTCGCATCTGGATTCTACCAACAGGCTCAACATTAGCGGTTACCTAATCAATATGATAAAAGCATGGAATAGTTTATAAAGTCAGTCTTTCTATTTCTACAAGAGCCATAGCAAGTTTACTTGATGACATTTAAAGTAATTATAATCAAAACTATGTTAGATACAAATTTCAAACTACGTCAAGGTAATTTTTCCTGTCTGGACAACCAAAATAAAATGTACGCTTACAATACAGTGGAAAGATAATATTACGGTACACGTTCGCTAAACAAGCCGTTTGTTTTGTAAAGACAAGAACTTGGCTAATTCGTTTCATTTAATGGAAATGTTTTTTTCCGGACAGACAACATGTGATCGATTTCACAATATGAATACCGTGTAAAATATCATCATGTAATACTGGTATAGTATAATAAGCTATCCTAGCAGTAGGTTATAATATTTTCGTCTATAAAACTCAGTACAGAATACAACAGCTTTAAATGGCTTACCGCAACCAAAGTAGTGTCGGCCGCTTTTTTACGAGCATCCTGAAACAAATTAAAAATAGAAAATATATCTTTAGCAATTTCAATCGTTTGCTTGTCACGGTGGTTGTACTATTAAGAAACTACTGTAATCTATCATTTCACATAATAACAAAATACTCAAAAGTAATTGCATGAATGAAGAAGGCGAGAAGAATATTCAGGAAGTACTGTAGTAGTTCGTGTCTTTTTGAAGCATATATTGGTTATCGCCCAATCATAACTTCCAATTAGTACACACCCAAAAATGATCAAAAGTCTAGACATGTATCAGCCGATCCAAAGTGTATTATTGAATTATTATAAAGTTTTAAATCGTGTAACTAGGTCATATAAAGAGGAAGACTTGACTTCTAAAACGCGAATACTTGCATTACACTCATCACAGCATCTCTTTATCGACATCGATCGCTTGACAATTGTCGCGTGTATATTGAAGTAAGTAGGCATTGAGTATGACGAAATTGATCACACTATCAAAATTACTATTACAGTATTCGTCTTGTCAATGGATTATTATGTAGTTTTAACAGTCTTTCTTTGTACAAGGTACAACTTGTTGGCCTTTCAATTTTATCTTGAAGCAGAATGGAATACTTGTACAAGTACAGCTTCGATTGCGCCGTTCATTTTTTTACTTCATCTCCGCTTATTGCAATTTTTTATAATCAAGATTGATTGATCATTGTATCTAACCAATACGTCAATCCTAGTAGGTTAAGATCGAGCAGACAGATGGATGTATCAATGATTACAGCGACTGCAAGTAAACTAAGTATTGGCCATCAGTGTTGGCGTCTAGTACAGTATATGCGTCAACAATACTTATGGTATCATGTCTACGAATAGACGACAGTGTAGACTAGTTATCGGCTGGTATACATTGTGATGATTTTCGCCTGCCTGCCTATCGAACGGCGTACTTTGCACCCAAATTAACTGAGTCAGTCAGAAGGTTCCCAAGCAGTATTCTCTTTACCTCGATACCATTTTCCAATCTTCAGTGCTTTAGTATATAGTCGTCAATCTATTTGCGTGGACAACATGCTGAAGTTGCTAGCACAATCTCTCTACAGTAACGTTGAAGAAGTATCAAGGAAAAAGTTGCCAGTTGCATTGTGTCCGTCAGTACACCTGATAACACATGTATAAAAAAACAAAACTCCCCCCCCCTCCTCAAATAACTCACGACTGGCGTAGTTTGAATACTAACTGTCGAGTATTGTACTGTACACCAAATACTAAATACTGTACAGTGTCGAATTGGAAAATAGAGCTGTGACGGCATGATATTGATTCCTATGTAGTCGACCATACAGTACTGCGTAATGTAGTGATTCTTATCAGCTTCAAGCTGCATAGCAACGGCCAGTCGATAACAAAAGAAGCGCACTACTGTACTGTATACAGAAGAC